ACAGCAGCGTACAAATCACATTAACGAAATGCCGGGGTCAGTGAAAAAGACACAGAGCTGTCGTCACAGAGTAAGTGCATTTTTACACAGTTACATGAATTTGCGCGTGGCATTTTACCCTGTTCCGGAAGGCGCTCGGTAGAAAGTGTCCGATGGTCTAGTCTCTGGCAGAGAGTTTCTGAGGTCGCTCCACTCACAGAGTCAGGAGGTCACACCGCTAACGTCTTCGAGTCTTAACGAGCGTCCATTCATTATTCTACCATCGGATATAAATAACACTAAACGTTGGATTTCTCTGCCAACATTAATACGAGTCACACACATGTAGCTATGCATACAGACAGAGATTGTCTAGCACGTCAGTGGGCGGTCGCCCAAGCATAATTAGCAGTATCAAATAAATTGGCGGTAGAACCAGAACGCTGGCCTTCTAATCCTGGGGGTCTCGGGTTCGATTCCCGGCGGTGCCCGAATTTATAACTTGTGTTGGGCAAGGCCGTGGTCTAGGCAACACGGAGTTTTCCTCCGGGGGCTTCCCCGGTTTCTCCGTGGCATCCCAACAATTACTCCATTCACACACAGAAGAAGGCAATGGCAAACCACTTCTGGATCATCTGCCAAGAACGTATATGAACAGGTCCCAGTCCGAGAAAAGGATGGAAGGATCCTGTTCATATGGACCTGTCGTCAGACAGAACACTAAATAAATAAATAAATAAAAATGTACAAGGCTTACAATTTGTAGTCTGAATCACTTTTCGGTAACTACTCAACGCTGTATCAAACGTCGAGATTCGGTTGTACGGTATCAAATGCAATAGGAAGATAATCATTAATGGTGAAAAGGGTTTTCAAGGAGACCACCGCGGTCTGAATGACTGTAATTCCAAGGAAAACCACGAAAAATCTCTGTCAGGTCAGCTGGTAACTCGACTGATATTTCTGTGCAGGCTACTACACGAATTCTTTACATCCACAGATCAGCCGGCATTTCGCTTTGCCAATTTTATTTTAAACATTTTTCAGTCCGTTAATATGTAACTAATCAGGTATAAACAGACGAGTGTTAGCCATGTCTGGTCAGTATCGCCCTATGTACCACATCTCTTGAGCATTCAGGAACAAATAAAACAATACAAGCAGGTCTTATTTCTCGTTATAACCCAACGTCACAGACTTAACATACCTTCTGCGATCTTCAGAACCGCCGCTGTGGCGAGGAACCACACCACGGTCACTCTGCAGCGTCTGAGTACGTCGTCGGCTACCATCACGTGAGGTACGGGTCAACACAAGTCACAGCAGTGTCCCTGCAACACACACACACACACTCTCTGAGGCTTGCTGACAGTCTCCTAAATCTGTCCCTCTGTCCCAAAATCCTTGAAATGTTTCATTACTTATTAACAACTGAGAGCACTTTCCCACATCGTCGCCACAAGTGCTTGCCGGAAGATCACGCGGGAGACGACAGAACGCAGGGAACTGCTTTATTGAGTCCGATCGTTTCTGAACTGAGAACACGGCCGCGCAGTTCACAGACTCAGCCACCCCCAACGCGTCTCCATCCCCCCTCTTCTACCATTCATTGGTCACCCTTTCCCTTTTAAGATCCCGCAACTTCTTCCGGTCCATAAGTCGATAAGAGCGAATTCTTCCTTTCTGTAATACAGATGACAATGTTCCGGTGGCTTCGGGGAAAGGTGAAACTGATCTGATCCGTGCCAGCCAGCCTCTTTGTCACCGTCAGCGTACGTAATAATATATGACGATGCACTGAACACGGCGTAAAAGCGACAAAACTACATCTGATTCTCTTATGTAGCGGTTAAGTCCGACAAAAAAACACGTATTAACCCCCTGAGTTTTCCGACGAACTATGGAAGACGAAAATCCTCATGCAGGTCACCCGGTCTCCGGGCAAAGGTTCCAGCTAATGCACCGTCACGTTCGAGAGCAAAATTAAAATGTGAGCCTGTTTAATTGCAGGCGCTGTGGAAGCTCATAAAAATACTCAGACTGTTGCAAAAAAAAGCCTCACACTTTGAGAACTTTAATCGAGTTTTCAAAATAACATGAATATATATATATATATATACACGTGTGTACACAGGACAGTCATTATGTTTCACACCCGATATTGCATGTCGGAAGATGCGGACGGTTAGAATCGATCTCAATACATCACAGTCACAAATCTTTAGATAATCATAATGCCTGAGTCGAGCTTCCCTAGATGACGACAAAATCTGAGCAAGTTAATTAGTCCTTAACAATAAAGTTCCTTAATTACGTACACTGTACCCGGAGCTGACCAATGATTTACGTGCATCACCGATTACGTAAATCCTTCAGAATACATTCCAGTACTTCAGATTTATCGATTTAAATGTGAAGTACGACGAAAATTAAAAGGTGTGAAAGTATTTTCTGGACACCACAGTCAGTTTGCTGACTAAAGAGAGTTTCAATTTCTTTGTGGTAACTGTGTGCGACGAGGTAGGTGCTTGGTGACGAAAGAGATTTGTCCTCTGTCAGCACGTTTTCGGATAACGATGCGCGCAGGTCTCTTCAAGGGGTGCACATGATGTACGACGGTAACATGGTACACTCCGACTTACAGTGAAATATTCTACTTATAATGATGGCGTGAGTGAGTGAGTGTACAGGTTAGGATTCCTATTTCAGGCTGTGAGACATTGTACGGTTCTGAATAATTATTTATGGTACCACAGTACATAAATAAATAAAATTATGTTAGATCATGTACTGAATAGCCAATGACTTAGTTTTAATTGTTAATACAATATCCACACCTGCGAGGTACATAGACAAACCGCTAATAAACTGTGAAGTATTTACACTGTATCCATTCAATTCGCTGTTCAATATCTGATCCTGATTTTATTAACACTTCTCTGAACAGTTACCGAGCTGCAGGTAAATCTCAAAACGCGTTCTCCCGAAACCTTCTGCAATAATTACCTATAATTTTTAATTAATTCACGTAATGTGTCTCGTTCTCGTCTGTTAACGTCAATTTATTTCTGCATTCAGCAATTCTGGTTAGGCGCAATGATTATGCGTTCTTCAGTTCATTCAAATCTCCTGATGAAGGCTTTCCAGGTACATTCTATGCCGTGGAATTATCATAATCGTGTATAGTCATGGTATTACGCAAGGTGATACAAGAAGGTACCGTGCATGTACCAATATTTGCATATTATATCTTTGTCAAAATATAAGCACGCCTTCGACTACCATAAGAAAAGCGACCACCTTTACATTACAGTGTTGTCACATTTTTCCCCCCATTAATCCATATTCCATATTATGAAATTATTCCATACATGGTACCTTCCTCTGTTTATGGATGAACTGTGACAATAAAACTGTGTCGCATTACATTTCTGAGAAACGTTACAGAGACAAATTTACTCGTTTAACACATGAAACAAATTACACATTCGCGATCTCACTGCAGAAAACTAGTTTTACCCTTTCTATTTGCATACACCGTGAAATTAATATTATTATAGTTGTTTCGTTTAGAATGAGTGAAAGAACCACGTGTTCAAAACGCTGCCTTCGTGCCTGTCACGAGGCCTAGCGATGTCTGAGGACAGCTCCTTCCCATTCCCCTCGTATTAGGTATGATATTATAACCACAGGACCGTCCGAACTGATCGCAACCTCGCTTCGTCGGACATGAAACAGCACTCCGTTCTCCGGACTACCAATGAAGCAGATCTGTTCACAAATCCGTAACTTCGTTACGGAAACAAGCAACTGAGAAACACAACTCATCAACATTTTCCAGTAATTGGTTAACCGATTCTAGGAGAAATTTCTCGTGCAGTAAGCAAATTACGTCAACTTCGTTAAGGAAATACCACACATACCTCACGCCCGAAGGCTGCAAAATTAACGCAAGACCCAGTGGTTCTGTGCCTTCGTGTCCAAACCAGAGATTATAGTCTTTTTTCTTTCTACTTATCCTTCCTTATAATCACCAACATAATTATCTATCGCGCCTTAATCAAATTCATCTTCATCGTCCAAACCAGAGATTATAGTCTTTTTTCTTTCTACTTATCCTTCCTTATAATCACCAACATAATTATCAATCTCGCCTTAATCAAATTCATCTCCATGTTCCCCATCAAATCGGTCCTCTTCCTTAACGGGCTTCCTACTTTGGCTTGTTCCGACTCAGAATTGCTCGGCAGTCAGTGAATATTACGTAAAACACTTAAGACTTCGCGAACATAATACGAGGCTATCCGAAGGCCTTTTTTATCATTACAGGGCATTACATAAAAAAGCAAACCCATAATCCGAGCCCAGGGGACAGCATTATAATAATGAACCGGAACGGACTAGACAGGAAGCGACGGTACTGATGTCACTGTTGAGAAGGGCCTCCATTCATACATGATCCTGTTTCAAATGGTGATAGCAGCAGATTGGTGATTTTAATCGATCCTAGAAGGCTGGATGATGTTCTTGTGGAACTAAGAATGAGGAGAAAATTAACTGTGACAGTAACAGCGAATATATTAATTAAATATCTCACAACTTATTACGTGTAACAAATTAACGTTATTAAATTCTTGCAACCAATTAAATGGTATCTACAGCTGTTACGATGTCCACGGTGGTCTAGCGGTTAGAACGCTGGCCTTGTAATCCTGGGGTCTCGGGTTCGAATTTATAACTTGTGTTGGGCAAGGCCGTGGTCTAGGCAACACGGAGTTTTCCTCCGTGGCATCCCAACAATTGCTCCATTCACACACAGAAGAAGGCAATGGCAAACCACTTCTGGATCATCTGCCAAGAACGTATATGAACAGGTCCCAGTCCGAGGAAAGGATGGAAGGATCCTGTTCATATGGACCTGTTGGCAGACAGAACACTAAATAATAATAATACAGCTGTTACACACATAGGCCTTTTTGACCTTTCGGCTAGTTAACACCTGGGAGTATTTTCAATTCGCAAAGGAATTTACGCTACAAAATAATTCTGGAGACAGAACCAGGGGGCTTTGACCCTGTCACGGATTGTACTGGTTCTTGCAGACACAGAACTGAGAAGTCAGAGAGCTATTTCATCGTGACATTTAAAGTTCCAGGTAAGGGAAAATTACAGAAGTCTAGACACATTCATTTGTTTGCAGAGAAGTGCTTTTGACTTTTAAATGTAAACGACCTAACATGCGTGAATAATCCATTGAGTATCAGAAAGGACTCCAGAGAATGAACGCTGCAGTTGTATTTGGAATATTTTCAGCAAAGCAGTGGTGCCACAACCGGTACTCAAAAGTGGGCTAGAATACATACAAAAGGTTAATTCTGGCTTGTGAAAGTGGATGTCAATTTGTGAGTTACTAAAACATGTCAGCTGACACGTGGTATATAAAAGCTGACGACACAAATCGTTGACATTTTTGTTAGCTTGGCCGGCTGTTATGAACTCTAGTCAGCGCACAGTGGAGTCATGGTGCGATCATCACGTGCTTATTTCACATTTTCGTAACAAATATGAAGTTTACTTCCGGTTGTCATGTAGTGGTAGCACTGACTGTGGGATTCGAAAGTCGGGACAGTGTTTTAAACGAAGTCGTCATGACTTCGTCGCGACTCAGAATCGATTAATATCTTCATATATCACACTCGAAGCTGGTAGGGCGTTCTTATGCAATCTTCGATAAGAAACAGATTGGACAAAAAATAACAGTCACGGATCTGAATGTTGAGGTCTTGCAGAATCAAATGCTCCTATAACACGTCCTCGTTAATGACGTCAGGTGGGATAATTTAGAAGTGCTGCTGTCATTATGCAGCTTTTAGAGACAATTTAAAAATAGTACAGAAGCATGGAAGAATGAAAGACAACAAGGTAAGAAATAATTTCCCTTCCAATTTAACTGGACCCTCATTACTTTTCATGTGGTTTGGTGTATTTATTACAGACCACTGATTACACTACAAAGTCGTCGGTTTGCGAGGTATTTAATGCACTTCATAAGTAGACTCACAGTTACAGACAATTCGAAGGTTAGTTCTGCCTAAGCAAACAAAACGAGCTGCAATGCATCCATGGAACCTAAATTTAAAATTTAAATCCGTGGCGTAACAGCTCCAGAGAGCCAAAGCCGACTAGCTTGACTGCTGGCCTCACGTTCACATGCCTAAGCAGAGGTGAACGATCATCCAACCAGATACAGGGTGACGTGTGGTCAGCACGACGAACCCCCAGCCATTGCTAGCTTTCCTGACCGGATTACGCTACTCATTGTAGCTCCCCA